TCTTCTTCTTCTTCTTCTTCTTCTTCTTCTTCTTCTTCTTCTTCTTCTTCTTCTTCTTCTAGATCTTAGGGGAAGTCGACTGCTGGTTCTTCAACCTGCAGTACAATTGATTTTTACGTATGTGACCGCTTTTCATACTTCGTAGGGCCCCTTGCTTTCAGGCAGCCACATTCAGATTTCGAAGGTACTCTTTATCATTTTATACTGACTAGAGTATTGTCAGGTTTTGGTATGAATTAATTTTGAATTTTGCCTTGGTGGCGGCCGAAGCCTACTCTTATCGAGTTTAGAACCACCAAGAGAGCTTAAAGTGCGCAGCTTGCACATGGGACCTCCGAGATTTTTTTTCCTTTCGAGAAAGCCAAATGTTCGGTCACTACTACCCTAAGATCAGAGATCATGGATGTGTGGCTGAAAGACAGTAGTAAGAAGGAGCAAGGAGAAGCAGTACTTGTAGAAATAGTCAGGAGCAAAGGAGAGAGTAGCCCACTGGCCGGGGGTGGGCCGGGTTAAAGCGAGAAAGTGGAGATGAAAGCAGGCGACAGAAAATGTCTAGAGAAAAGGAAAGGAGGTGAAAAGAGAACATTTTAGAGAAAAAAAATGTAATGTTTCCGTCGCTGTCAGGTTTGGCACCTGGAACCTATTGAAGGTTAAGCGAACGCGTACCTCTAGACCTTGAGAGCCTCGTGTGTTTAGTTCTGATTGTTCTGTTTTTTAATGATCTTCCAGGGATCTTTTTTAAAACCGATACACAATACACACATGTACATGACATTGTATTTCTATGTTCTGTGAAATGATCCCAAGTAGAAATCCGTGAACCATTGTGTTTTTATTTGTTTGATTGTTTATTGTTTCTGTTTCTGTTTTTGTTTTTTCTCTCTCCATTTCTACACTACTGATACACACACGTACATGTATGCTCCGTAAAACGACTTCCATCATAAATCCATGTGCGTGTTTGTTTATTTGTTTGTTTGTTAGGTGTTTTTGTTTTCATCTTATTTTTGCTTTAATGATACACACACGAACATCTGTGCTTCATAAATTAATGACTCCCTTTAAAATTCGTGTGCGTGTTTGTTTATTTGTTAGTTTGTTTGGTGATTTTTTCCCTTGTATTTGTACTTTGTTGATAGCGTATGTTTAATCAAATAAAACGAATTATGTGACTGTCAGTGTGTGTGTTTGTGTGTGTGTGTGTGTGTGTGTGTGTGTGTGTGTGTGTGTGTGTGTGTGTGTGTGTGTGTATGTGTGTGTGTGTGTGATCATGTGAGTAAGAGTATGATCGTGTAGGAGTATGATAAACCAACCATGGAGACACAATACAAAATTGAAAAACAAAGATGAAACGGAGAATTGCAATCGCTGCCTCTAAACTGAAAATGATAACATCCACCTGAAGAGGACAATGAAAAGAGAGAAAAACAAAAGTTCAAACTTTAAGAACATTCTGGAGACTGTTTCAAACTTGCTACTGAGCTGACAGCATTTTAAAAGAATTTTTTTCTTTAAAATTCTCCCTGCGACATCTCCTTATTGCTTCACGCTGTGATCAACTTCTCTCTTTCTAGTTCCTCCTCAGGAACAGATTGGCGGGAAATTTGACTGAGCTCTAGTTAAGCTTACTGAAAATCGAGACGAAATGTTACATGTTTGGTCTTATTGTATTCGATACTGTAGGCTATTTCACCAAGTTCAACTGTAACAAAGAATTATAGTAAAATACTAGTTGCTGTTCCCCGGTCGCTGTTCCCCGGTAAAATGACGTCATGAGTCGCTATTCCCCGGCGCAGCCGATTGTTAGTGATCACCAATGTGGTCAAATGGAAAAACTAATATAAGCTAACAACATAACAATCTAGTCTTCGATTTAGAGTTTCTTGAACATAAAGGAATGTGTTTTGCCTAAAGACATTTGCTTTTACCAGACATAATTTCTTTTGGCTCGTGTTTTATTACTATTAATTTTTTTTTTATGTAATGCTTTTTGAGGGAGGGGGGGGGGGCAGAAGAATGGCACGGAGAGAGAAAAATGCGATGGAGAGAGATAGAGAGAGATAAACAGAAAAAGGAGAGACAGAGAGAGTTTGAGATAGAGAAAGATAAACAGAAAAAAGGAGAGACAGAGAGAGTTTGAGAAAGAGAGCTTGGAAGGGAAAGAGAGCAGGGAGAGAGAGACAGAGACAGAAACAGAGACAGAGAGAGAGAGAGAGAGAGAGAGAGAGAGAGAGAGAGAGAGAGAGAGAGAGAGAGAGAGAGAGAGAGAGAAAGAAGGGGGGAGGGCGCAGGAGGGGGCGCCAAGAAAAGAAAGAAAAGGAGGTACAGAGAGACACCGAGATAGATAGAAATAGATAGATAGATAAATAAATAGATAGATAGATAGATAGATAGATAGATAGATAGATAGATAGATAGATAGATAGATAGATAGATAGATAGATAGATAGATAAATAGAGAGATAGATAGATAGAGAGACAAACAGATAGATAGATAGATAAATAGATATAACGATAGGTAAATAGATAGAAGGTGAATCTTATCCTGGACTTAAGCTCCCCTCCACCCCGTCCCCCCTTTCCCTCTCCCTCCTCCCTTCGTATTTCCCAAGTGGAACTTAAACAATATGAGCAGAAGCACACAGATAAGAGAAAAAGAGAAGGGGACATTTTTAAGTCCAGTTCGTAACCCTCATCCCCCAACCTGTGCGCCCGGAGAAGGACTTCACTTACTGAACACGAGAAGAAGCAGGCAGAGAGAAAGAAAGAGAAAGTAGAGATTGTTTTAAACTCGACTGATACTCCACCTCCGCTCCCCACCAAACACACACACACACATACACACACACACACACACACACACACACACACACACACACACACACACACAAACCACAACTTGTTCTCCCCAAGAAGGGACTAGAACTTACAGAACATGAGAAAAAAGAAACGTACTGTTTGCTCCACCGCTAGTTCCACAGACAGCTCGTTGACGTCATTGAGGTCCATGGCAACCACAAGCTCCACGTCAAGACTGGTATTGTCCTGCCCAACGCCTGAAAAACCAACAAGCCGGAAAAAATGGTAATCACATACCAGTTTGTCTTACGACTCAAGCAGTGCACTGGGTAATCCTTACACCATTGTAAATGCTATACACCCCCCCCCCCCCCTTCCGAAAAATAACAACCTGAAAAAGATTTTTTTTAAATTGTTAGGCCTATCATCATTAATATTAAATTTTTTTATTAATATTATTATTATTATTATTATTATTAGTATTTTTT